CTGACCCGACCCTGCCAGGGTACTTTTCCTCCGGGGACCCCCAGGGGCCGCCCCCCGCGCGCGAGTAGAAATACCGTAAAGCGGTTACCGGGGATCTTAGCACGCCTTTGGCCCGTTGGGCCGGCGAACTTATTGAATAGGTGCAAAGGAACATGAAGAAGATGCGGATGAGGAGGGAAGAGATGAAGCAGGAGGAGTCGGTGGAGGATTCTTCCTCGTCGCCGTCGTCATCAGCTCCGTTGTCGTCGACAACGTCGTGGTCGTGGTCGTGGTCGTGGTCGTGGTCGTGGTCGTGGTCGTGGTCGTGGTCGTGGTCGTGGTCGTGGTCGTCGTCGTCGTCGTCGTCGTCGTGGTCGTCGTAGTCGTCGTGTTCGTTATGGGCTTCGTCGTCGTGGTCGTGGCCGCCGTCGTCGTGTTTGTTGTCGTGATCGTCATGCTCGTCGGCGTCGTTGTCGTCGTTGCTGGCGCTGGCGCTGTCGCCGTCGCCGTCGCCGTCGCCGTCGCCGCGCCGTTGGCGTTGCCGTCGCCGTCGCCGTCGCCGTCGTCGACGTTGTGGTGGTGGTGGTGGTCGTCGTCGTCCTTGCCGTTGCTTTCATCACCGCCGCCGCCGCCGTCGACGTGTTGGTGGCGGTGGGCGTCGTCGTCGTTGCCGTCATCACCGCCGCCGCCACCGCCGCCGCCGCCGCTGCCGTGGTGGTGGTCGTCGTCGTCGTCGTCGTCGTCGTCGTCGTCGTCGTCGTCGTCGTCGCCTTCGGGGAAGGCGAGCCCTGACGCCACGCTGGCTGCCAGCGGCGCAGGTGCCGACGGCTTTGCGCTCGGCTGGAGCTCGCTCTCGGCCGGGCTCCTGGCCTCCGGCGGGAGCCCGGCGGGCCGGAAGGGCATGGGGGTTGGGTTTAAGTAAAACAGGGCTAGCATCGGGACGAATCGCTCCAGAGCGTTCCGGAGCGCTCTCAGAGCGTTCCGGAAGGCTCTGGAGCGGCCGCGGCGCCCAATGCATCCTCCAAGCCCGCCGATTCTCAGAGATTTCGAGTTGTCCCGATCCGATTTTGTCCCGATCTCCGCGTCGTTTTATGTAGGCCTCCCTGGTAGGGCCCGAGCAGGCGGGGTCGGAAGACCGCGCCGCGTCCCCGAGGCATCGGCGATGCGGCGCGACGCGGGGGGCCCGACTTTCCCCATGGCGCCTGCGCCGATGCCTCGGCGGTGCGTCGGAGGTGCGGCGCGATTCTCCGACCCCATCTACTCGGACCCCAGTTGGGAGGCCTCGACAGACCCAGACCTCCTGGCGTCGTGAAGAAAATCACGACGGGAGGTTTTTCGCTATTTTCGGCCTCCGGGGGCCCTCACCGGGCCTCGGGAGCGTCAACAAACGACTCGGGACGAGAAACCGGTCCCGGGGAAGGGGTCCAGACCTCTGGGGGTCGACGTCGCGAAAAAATCGCGACGTCGGAGGTCTGGGGAGGAAGCGCCTCAGGCCCTGAGCCACCTCGGCCCAGAGGGCCGCCGGCGGGGGCCCCGCCTCGCAGCTGGCGACAGGAGGAGCTGCTGCGTGCGGCTGGTGCGGGCCCCGCCGCCCAGCTCGTTCCTCGATGCGCGGTCGCTCCCGGCGCTGGGGGTGAGCTGTGAACACCAGCCGCGTGCAGCTGCTGGCTCCCCTCCGTCCGCGCCGGCCAGCGCCCCGACTCCGCGGCCCATACCTTGGCACCCCGGCCCCGCTTTTGTCTCATTGCCTGCGCTCGAGAGAGCACCGTGCGCCGAGAGAGCCCCTCCTCCTCCTCCTCCTCCTCTTCCTCCTCCTCCTCTTCCTCCTCCTCGTCCTCCTCGTCGTCGTCGTCCTCCTCCTCCTCCTTCATTGCGCGGTGCTCGCTGCAAGCACCGTGCGCTCGAGAGAGCCCCAGCACGGCCGCCCAAGGCGGCAGCCGCGCTCCGCGCCACAGATGCGGCGCATGCAGGGCGCCGACTTTCTCTCCGTTCTGGCATCGCTGATGCACTGGCGGTGCGACGCGGTGCGAGCCGACCTGAGACTGGTATGCCATCTCACCAGGTTGAGGCCCCTCCGAGGCCCCCCCCGTCTCTTGTCCGAGCGGAAGGGGGCACAGAGGCGGCAGAAGGAAGCAGCCGGAGCTGTGGCCTTGGCCCTCGCTGTATGTGGCCCTGGTCTGGACTGCGTGCAACACGTGTGCCGGCTGCCACTGACCGTGTGTGTGGGCACGTCCGTCGAGCGGAGAGCCGAAAGCGCAGGGACGCGGTCACGCAAACGAGCGCATCTTGGGCTCGATGCGTCGGGGGGCCTCAATTCAGGAGGGGAACAAAACACACAGACAGAATGAATCGTCGATTCCCAAGGAACTACGGGAAAATATGGCAAATGGGGGGAAGACACAAACCCAACAAATGTGGGAAAATATGGGGAATCCTGTTATTTGTGTCTATTTATTTGTGTGTCCCAGGGCCCCTTCACCAATTATTGGGTCGCAGGGAGCGACAGGGCCCGACACACCTA